TTAAAGGTGCACCTTAATTGTATTATTTAAGGTTGCCACCTTCTAGAAACCACATCCTTTTATTATTGTTAACAAAATTTTCACTAATTTGGCCAATTAGGGATCTCTCTATCCCTCTGGTTTCCACAAAGAGGTGCATACCTCGGCTTTCTCACCAATAATAATTACAAGAACAAATTCGCTCGTTAAAACAACTATCTCCCTTCCAGTGATCTTTGAAATTAGCTTTATGGCATTGTGGCAGTCAGTACATACCCTAAGGTTTTTCACCACACGAATTAAACATTCCTCACTATTTATAAGCCCAAATGCAATTGCTAACTTTTCACTATGGTGCCCAAGGCAATGCTCGTGCTCTTCCTCTTCTATATCAAACAAAACCACTCCCGTCTTTGGAGCATATCCTGCCTCTCTCATTTCCTCAAGCTATTCATCAAGCTTCAAATAAATCTCAGTACTTTTTATGTGTGATTCATCTCCAACCAAGAACTCATGAACAACATTATCTACCTCAATCCAACTACTCCCTGGAGTCTTCTTTACACCCTTCTCTCTCATAACTAACCTCAATTTCGCCGAATCATCCCAGTTTTTATTCGAAGCATAAATATTTGATAACAGCACATAATTACCCAAATTATGTGGCTCTAGCTCTAGTAGCCTCTTAAGCGCAAGCTGGGCAAATTGGGTGTCCTCGTAAATTCTACAACCACCTAAGACAGCACCCCAAACAACTGCATTGGCCACAATAGGCATGTTTCGAAACAAATTGTAGGCTTCTTTCAAGAGCCCAGCTCTACCGAGAAGATCCACTATACATCCGTAGTGCTCTTAGGGATTAAGACCGTATGTTCTACTAATACTATCAAAAGACTTGAGGCCTTCATCTAGTAGGCCACAATGGGTGCACACGCACAAGAGGGCGACAAAGGTGTTACTATCTGGCATTATAAATGTCTTCTCCATTCGACCGAATAGACCTAACACTTGTTTTCCATGACCATGCATTGCTAACCCCGATATCACCGCATTCCATACAATAACATATCTTTCCTCCATCTCAGTAAATACAAGCCAAGCATGAGCCATCCTACCACACTTAGCATACATATCAATCAAAGAAGTCGCAAGAACCGAGTTCGCTACAAATTCTTTACAATCAATCCTATCTTTCACTCGCTCCCCCAATGTTAGAGCCCCTAGTCTAGCACAAGCAGATAGCACCTCCACCATAGTGAAGCAATCTGGCTTCAAATTTGCTTCCTCCATTTCAAAATAAATCTTCAAAGCCTCAATAGGTTGCACATCTCGTGCATAACCCCCTACAATTGCACTCCAAGAAACAATATCTCGCTCGGGCATCTCATCAAAGACCTTTCGCGCCTTTTCCATGCACCCACACTTAACATACATGTCGACTAGTGATGTATTTACATACACATTAGTCCCCATACAGGTCTCAGTAATACATTGATGAACTCACTCGCCAGCCTTAGCATCACCTAATTTTGAACATGCACAGAGCACACACACTAGGGTGAATCTATCGGGCCTTAACCATGCATCTATTAATGCTCGAAAAGAATCAATTGCTTCTTGAAACTGCCCATGCCTTTCGTAACAACCAATTATGGCAGTCCAAGAAACCACATTTATCTCAGGCATCTCGTCGAACACCTTTCTTGCTGAAGCAACAGAACCCAATTTTGCATACATGCTTAGCAAGCAAGTTTGAACATAAACATCACATTCAAAGCCAAGTTTGATGACATGGGGTATGGATCCTTGGGCCTAATCCAAGTACTGAAAGGGTTCCACAAGCCTTGAGCGCAAAAGGGAACGTGAATTTGTTGGGCTTTATGCCTGAATTTTGCATGAGAATGTACAATTCAAGGGCTTCAATGTTGAGATTGTGGAAGACCTAGCCTCTGATCATTGAATTCAGACAAAAATGTTGGGTTTTTGGGTTTGGTCGAAAATTGATCGACCATAGTGGATTTGGCCTGATTCTGAACATGATTTCAATAGAAAGTGGAGGTAATAGCTCTCTTTATTGAATTGGTTCTGTAGAGATGGGCTTGGATTTGCTTTATGTTGCTCAATGTGCTCCATCTTTGCAATGCAAGTCTCGTAATCTAATGGAAATGGAACCAAGAAAGAGAGATGGTCTAATGGAAATGGAAATAGTATACTTTGGACATTCAATTTTCAAGATTTTATAAATCTACTTCATCTATACTATATTATAAACTTTAAATTTTAGACATGAAAATATATTTTAAAGTTCACAAATATTTTCAACGTTGAACCTGCGTTTCTCACACTATTCAAGGGTGTACTTTATTTTGATTGTTTAGAACCTCAGCTCCATACAAATAACACCTTCTTAGATTTTTTTAAGAAAATTGTTTCAAATCAGCTCGACCCTTTCAAAGATGAAGGCAAGTTGGTGTTTCATCTAAAAACACTGAAAACTAAAGATCCAAATATTTTATTACTAGAATTATTATTTCTATTTTTTAAAATTTATTTGTTTTTTATATTCATGATCCCAGTGTTGGAGATTACATGTCGTTCAAAATTAAGTCTTAAAACCTGTTTATAAAGAGGACCGCATTTCTACATATGCGGGCTTGGCCACATAGACACCGGATCCTTTTTTATTTTATTTTATCCTATAGTGCATTGGGTTCTTAGTGATACTTAATAAACAAGCATTATTTTTAGGTGAAAATAAATTTGCTCATGGAAGCGATGTAAAAGTCAGCGAAACGGTGATTCCTGTGATTTCTTTCCAACGGTTACGACAACTTTAACAAAGAAATGTGGACCCTAGGTCCTCACTAACCAGTTGGACTGCCTACTGGGCGGGCCAGCCAGGCCCAAGATCAGCTCAATGTTTTTCATGCTGAACTATGGCCCGGCTGAATTATATCCCAAGCCGGTCATATATATGTTTCTATACTATGTAACTTTGCTTAGGTCTCCTTAGTCCGGCTTAGGCAGAGAGCCAACACCAAATATAACCATCACTAAAATTGTTCGGGCCTATCGAGGCGGGGTTAAGCCCGTCTCGCAGTCCGGTTTTTTTAAACCCCAGACCTAGACTGATTGGAAGATGTAAATGTAAGGGCGTTATCTCTTTCAAAATCCATAGTAATTGCTTTTTTTATTCTTATTCTTGTTATCCATATTCATCCCTTAATTAGGATTATATAAGGTGGTGGTTTGTATAAGGCCGATGCCCTAAGTAAGGTACACTTTCAGATAATGTCGAAAGATGTTGTTTCAATATTGAAAATCTTTGTGGCGGCCTGAAAATCTATTTTTATCTTTAATTATAAAATTTAAAACTTAAAAAATAGTGTAGATTGAGCAGATCTATGAACACTTGAAAATTGACAGTCCAAAAATATATTATAAGATGTACTCATTCCAAATTTTAAAATCTATTTTTTTCTCATGTCCATGCATCTTGAGAAATTTGAGGGTTTTTGGGTATCGAAACAATCTATTCTAATGAAAATTTCAAGGTGCACTTTAATTTGATTATTTATGGCCTCGCCCTTATATAAACATTATCCTTATATAAGTGGTATGATTTTGTAGAAAGTTTTGTAATAATATAATAAATGTAAAGACTATTTATACAATAATATTATATAAATGTGCTCTTTTAAAACATGAAGAGCACAAAAGATACAGAAAACTGATAAATGATTGTTTACAAAGAGACCATTTATCTTTATTAGAAGGAGGCCACAACTATTCACACTCATTAGATGTCAAATTGGATGGTTTAGGATGAGTCACGAAGTTTGAGATTTTTTTTTTTTGGAATTTTTTGTCTATTCAATGACACTGTCACGATCACCCATTTTGAAGTTTAAGGGACAAGAATGTTTGTGATCTCCGTGTTTAAAAGATAAATGGTCTCTTTGTAGACAATCCCAACAAATAAAGTGAATAACCACTAGGTCAAGTTCACAACTAAGG